TTAAGTTCTAAATACTGAATCAACTGTAACTGAATGAATGAAAAAGATTCCTAGAACTACGGTCAGTGGCAAGAACAGTTCCCGGAAATGTTCTATTTTTAAATAGCGAAAAAAAAGTACGAATAATTTTTAATACTATTTGTTTACTGATACTGATCTGTTTACTACAATATTTTTTTTACTTAGAATAGTAAATAACCATTTACATTGTATATTGGTTTTCCAGTAACTGCTGAAGCACACTTCGGTTTTTTCAGTATAAATTTATAGTGTTAGAGTTGTAAAAATTTATTGGAGTTGTCTTATAAGAGTCAAAAAAAATTTATGGCAAATGTGTTTTGTCAACTAGATGAGCAAAAGTTATAAAGAGGTTCCAGTAGTTTTCACCACACAAAACTTCGTCAAAATATGATTTAGCAATACTTTATGTTAAAAACTCTTATAAAAAATTTTAGTTTTTTCGCATAAGCAGGTGCAAAACTCGTATTCTCGTCAAAATAATGAGAACGTTTTTGTGTAAATTTTAAATTTCAAACAAGGTACTGATTTTCCAGACATAGCTCAGAAAAATAATGTCTACAGATATTCAACAACTATTTAATGATTGCTAATGTAAAGGTTTTGTTAAAACTTTATTCATTTTATGTGGTTACAGATTGATTACTTATCTGAAAAATACAGACAAAAACTTCTATTAAAAAAAACTTTCCTTAATTTTTTGTTTATTTTCTGTTGTGAATCGTAATTCTGGCTTGGTCAAGGCTTCTAAAAATAAACGACCAAAAAATTTTCTGCTTTTTACATTTTAAGTATCCTTTGCAGTAAAAAAATATGTTTATTGATGCTGTTTGGCTAAGAAATAGTCTTTTGACCAACGCAGTGTACCATACAGTTGATTAACCACATTCCCTTTATTCCCAATAAATGAAATTTCCTTTATTTTTCTGATTCTGAAACAGCGTATTTTGCTTCTCAGTTTAATGTCTGTTTGGTAGTCTTCTAACATTTACCGTACATTAGATAGTATTAGCAATAACATTTAAGAAAATTTCATATTATAACATTGTTTTGCAACGTTTTGCCACTGCTTATCCTCTTATTTTACAGTTTTCATTTGGCGCTTACTTCCATCTTATTCACAACTGTTCAGTATTGCATATGTAACATCATATAAACATTCAAAAAAGAATTTATTGTTAATGAGGGAATTTTCTAAACTTTGACATAAAAATTTCAAATGTGAAACTGTTTTCCTGTAACCCACTTCTTGACCGTAAATTACTATAAATGTATTAAATTTGAGTAAGTTACTTTCTGCTTTGAAGTTTTAAACTTTTTCCATTATTTTTTTTCTTGACTTTAGATCTTACTGAAGCCGATGATCCTTACTACCAGTATTTGTTGGCATACTATCAGTCGTATGAGCGATACCTTGGACGACTCCACCAGTTGTATCCAAACTTAACACTACCACAAGTCCAGCAACGATACAATCCAAATCTTCAGTTGCCTTACAGTAAACAGATCAAAGATGGTGTTATTGTGCTGCAGAGGTACAACTAGTAATTTGCAGAACCAAATTCATTCTTTTCTTTTCTCAGTTATTTCAAAATTTTCCACTTCCTAAAATTTTTGCTGCTAAAACATTTGTACAAAAATTAAAAAGTCGAAAAACAAAAGCAGATTGATATTTAGAGGATGAGCTAAATCATAGCATTTTTATTAAACTACTTCTCAAAATTATTCTTTGTAGTGGTAAAACAAAATTTGTTCTCCAAAAAAAATTAAAGATAAAATGAAGTAAGCAGATGTACTCTTTCCTCTACAAAATTTAAATAAATAAATTTTGAACAAGCAAACTGTTTAAACTTAATTTTTTTTCAGCTACGAATATTTCTGCACAGTGCGAAGTGATTTGTGCAATCTGTTGTTCTCATGTCCGCCATGTTCAACAAAAAATGAAAAATCCGACGAAGACGATGTCGCAGATGAAGTCAGTGTCATTACAACACCGAATAGTTCGGCATCTGAAACTACTACAGGTACCAGCCATACTTTTGCTTTTACAAAGCAGAAAAAATAAGTAGTTCTCTTTTTTGAATCTGTGCAGTGGCAACAGCGACTTATTCCGATACAAAAATCCTACTACATTGATAACATCACCTATATTATTAAAAAAATATAGTTATTGAATCCAAATACATTAAGAAATCACAGAATCTATTTAAACTGCTTCAATTTTAAAACTTTATCATTTAATGGAGCTTTAGCAACTAATACAATAAGTGGTATCCATGGCGCTCATATTGAAGGAGCCGAAACAACCAAACAGCAGAGTCATAGGCAACCAGAACCAGATGATATTTACGATGAACTACAGATTGAACCACTGGTCAGATTAGAAACATTTTTACAATAATTTTTCAGGAGTATTATTACGATAAAAAATCTATCTTTCGTTTATCAGACAGAAAAAATAATAAAGTGAAAGACAGCGGAAAAAGTGAAGAACCAGAAGTTAAATAGAAAACATTAAAAAACTTAATACTTTTAAATTTCAGACATCAGGAAAAGAAGATTCTAAAAGAAAAACTGATCAGAAAACTCAAACGAATTCAAATATTACAAGTGAAAGAACAATAATCCAGTTAAGGAATAGTGAAGTTAAAGGCTCCATTGACGAAAACCCTTCGTATCCGGAATATTATGATGAAGAAATCGTTGAAGATGATACCAATGCTGATGATTTGATTTCATCTGAACGAGCAAAAAATTATACAAATCATAATGTACGTCGACGTTCTAAGAGGCAAACATATCAAAAATATCCAGTTCACAGTCAACAGTACTGTACCTGTCCAGCTCCTGCAGAATTGGAAAACTCGTTGAAAACGCAGGAAGAATTATTGCAACCCGATTTCTCAAATTCTGAAAAAGCCAGAGCCCCTGACGTACCCGAAGAATTTCTAAGAGCTGCAAAAGGTTGTTCTCTATTGGAACAAGACAGAAGTGGTTCATCTGCTACTGGAAACTGTTCCTGGTTCCAGAATGGTTCGAGTTTTAAAAGTCCGTCGTTTATGCCATTACGTTCAGAACCTTTGTCGCGAAGAGACTTTGAAAACTGTCTTCGATTAAATATATCTGAAGAAGATTGTTTAAGAACAAGACAAAGCTTCCTGGTGAACAGAGTGACAACAAGTCCTAAACAAATAGCATTTCCAGAAACTCGACTTATTGTTGAAAATAACTTTTCCGATTTCACTGAAACATTCATTGAAGACAGTACCAAGGAAGCAAGTCGGTCAAATTTGTTGACGCATGTGTCAGCACCGGTAAAAGATAGACATTTTGAAGCTGGTGTCGACAAATGGCTTCGAGTGTCACATTTTAAGAGCGACGATCTTCACAACGGTGTAACGAAGACGGGACTTGGTCGGAGACAGAATGTGCTTGTTAATTTTAAAAATTGGACTGCCGATTACAAAAGCAGCGTGAGACCAGAATTTCTTGGTCCAGTGCAGAACAACTTTTTTGCTGAAGACGACGGGTTTGTAAATGGAGTTCCGGAAGTGGAAAAAACACAAATGAAGTCTAAAAAGGGAAATAAAGAGTCAGTAGAACGAGTGCAACTAAACAACAACTCTACTAGTAAACTGCAGTACAGAAAAGGTGCATTTAAATTATACCATTGAGCATCGTTTAGTTAGATGTGTCAGAATTTTGAGCTGGCTTTTGGTCTACCTACTTGTCAGATTTTGTAGATTTCTGTGCAATCGTTTAACTTCAGGATTTGCCACAGTACCAGAGGAAATAAATACTAAAAACACCGCTGAACAAAGTCTTGTCTCACTAATTGACCCTGATTCAGGTATAATCTTTGCTTTAATTCAAGCTTTTCTTTGTAATTTTTAAAAAATTTGAACTCTACCTATTAGTAGAGTTATTAAGGTTACTAAAAAAGCTTGCTGTAAAACTTCAAGTATCACTTAGGTGATATGCCAAGAATCGATCCTCCCACTGCAGCAATGAGTGACTTAGAAAGTGTTGAAAATCAGAATGCTGAAGTTGCTGCAGTTGAAACTCTCAACAGAAGTCCTCATCGGACACGTATTTCTGGAAGCAACAGAACAGTAAAAAGCCAACCAATTCGGTATACCTAGAACTTAAAAAGCATAATTGTCCTTAAATTTTAGGAAGCTCTTGAAAAGTAATCTTACTTAATTTATATCTTTTTAAAGCCCGCAAAAACGAAGCCGTAAACCACTTACAAACCAAGAATTTGTGTCTTCATTTATAAAACCAAAAAAAAATCAGTGTTCTGTTATCGGCGTTGATGTCATGATTTACATCGACGATATTAGCGTGATGTCCGAGTTTGAGTTCTATGGATACCGACACTTTCTCAAAAAATTTTACAAACATTTTGAAACCGATCGACAAACCTGTGAGCGGGCAAGTTTTTTTATTTTAGAGCTAAACAATGCTTTTTTCTATCCAAAGTTTGGAATCTGCATCTGCTGAGATCACAGGCTAAGCCAACTATTTAGTTTAATTTGCATATTTCTATTCTATATTCATTCGACAAAAACTATTGTTAACCAAAAAGTAATTGAAAAATTTAAAAAAGTGCTGTAAATTTTTGAGTCGAAAGATTAATTTTAGAACAGAAAGATTAGCTTGACAATGTAATGAGAATATCAAGTTTTGCAAATTCCAGCTTTTTACAGCAGAAGTTGAAAAAACGTTAGCTGAGAATCTGATCGTGGGAAACAGAGCAAAAAAATTGGTAACTTTTGCTCAGTAGCAGCAGCAAATTCTTGCGGGGTTGTTATTGCGCAAGAGCCATAAAATTTCAAAATCTGTTTAGAGGATTTATCCACAGATTTTTTCCGTGCGTAATCGGTGATGTAATCTGGAACTTCTCTTGCGTAGCTTTTAGAAGTTTACAACAACTGAGATGAATAGAAAGATAACGTCATTACTTCTTTAAAGAAAATAAATTTAGGTTTCTAGGCTTGGAATTATAAAGACAAAACCGAATGGTACTGTATTTACATATTTGCATCTTGACAGTCCAATGAATGTTTTACAAAAAGCAGTTTTTATTTCACGGATGGAATACGGAGGTTGCTTGCTTAGCAGAGATGAAAACTGTCGCAAATCAATTATTAACGTCAGCTGTTCCGCTGTTTATTCGTTATAAGAATTTCTGTTATTTCTTTCTAAATAAACTGACATTTTGAACAACATTTTTATGAATGTTTTAGGCTTACCTGCTTGCCTCAAGTTTATTGGAACAAGAAGAGTCTGATCGGAAAAAAGTGTTATATGTTGTTACGTCACGTACCAGAAAGCAAATACGTAGTCTGTATTTTGACATTCACGAAGTGGTTCAGCATGCCATCGATAGCGGTGTTGTTGTACACGCAGTTTTTCTGGGCACCCAGTATAGTAGGCAATTTGAAATAATTATCTGTGAAAGTTTATCTGAAGATCAGCATCAGTGGCAGTTGCTTTCGCTGACTGATCTTTCACTAGGCAATAAATAATCCAATTTATACCAGTCATTGTTTATTTAATTACTAATTTTGACAAGCAGGTGAAAATGCACTAAGGCTACTGACGACAGCAAATACGACTATTATACCGCAGAAACTTAAGACAACGAACGATGAATTAATTCAGCTTTTATGCAGTATGATCACAGTACCTGAAAGGGAGATGCAAAGCAAAAGCCATTATTGTCCATGGTACGGAACAAATTGAAAACAGGAACTGTCGTGAGCAAGCGGCAAAGGTACAATGCTGCTGTCAGTTGCACCAGAAGTTGTTGAAGCTTTTGATTTAAGGTATATTAAAAAAAGAGGAATTTTTTTCTTGTGAGAAAACTTTCCTGACTGTTGACAAACGTTGAATACTGGGCTGTACGACTATCACTTGTGCCTACACTTTTTCTGTTAGTTGATCAAATTTTTATTTGCTATCTTATATAGCAAATAACGGAAAAATTGCTTCAGTTAACATCAGCCATCGTAAAATTGAAATTCTCTCAACCATGTGTTAACAAAAAAAAAAA